TGAGTCGATGTGTTTATCCTTCGAATGCGTAGGTCTAGGTGGACTCAAATCGAGATTATCATTGATCCGGTTGGTATTTGTCTCGTTAAGATTTCTTGTTTCTTTATCAACAGGACGATTAATAATAGTTAAATCGCCTTCGTCGTTCTCGGTTATAATTTTCCACCTTCTCTTATCGGTAAAATCGACCGGTCCACGTTCGTCAACTATACCAGCAATTTGAGGAGCGTCTTCTCCCTCTAAAAGGATATCGAATTCACCGTCTTCAATGGGTCTCATATTCCTCAAGTCTATATCGTCATCTATAATTTTCACTCTGCAAAAATACGTCCACCCGTTTCATGATCAAGTCAGAAATCTCCCTTTCCAAAAAATATTTTATAAAGACGAAGAAAGCTGTAGTAAAATTTAAGAAATCTTAGTTTCCAAATTAGATGTTGAAATAATTGTGCAAATATTAGTCGCTATGTATACGTAAGTTAATCTGAACGAAAAAATATGATAGAAATGTAAGTCCCGAATAATCAGAAGTTTTCAACATTATTTTTAAGGTATTTTTAAGGTATCGTAAAAATCATGAATAGGCTTATTAAAAAAATAATATTTAATAATTTCATGTAAAATCATGTAAAAAAAAGTGTAAAAAAATAATTCGCGATGATACGAGTGACATAAACGTGTTAACTTTACGTTTACACAGCCTCCGTTTACCTATATTGCATTCCAAAGCATCATGCACAGCTGACAACATAACCTAACTTCGATGCAAAGTATTCATTGCTGAAGCGAATTAAAATACTTATAAATTGGGTCTTACGTTTTCGCTCCCGTCTTATGCTTCTTCTTCTTCTTTTTCTTCTTTTTTTCGTCACCATCGCCCAAGGTATACTTTTTCAAATATTCCTTCTGACTGATTGCTTTATTCTCCATCATAAATTTCTAAACTATAGACAGTTAAAACGCGCGATGTAATGAATCGTTAAATTTTCAGTCACCGTGATATAATTCAAACTATTTTTTTTAGCTATCAATAATAAACAACAACAATAAAGTATTATGCTGTACTGTTGACACCAAATCGATAACACGCGGCCATACTAGCCACTAGCCATACGCAGCACGCAGCACTACGTTGCCCAACGTGGATAACTTCGTTGTTCCCATGGTGTAAAGAACTGTAAATAGACAGGTGAAGCATTGCGCATAATGGCGGCAGGTTTGGCGGTTAAACCAATCAGGAGGCGCCCCGTTTGTAGGCGCTCACTTTAAAGTGGATTCGATTATAAGAAATAAAAATGCGTGAATCATGTAAAATTTTAAATATATATTTAATGAAATATAATAAAACCTGAAATAAATAAATTAATTAATGACAATTAAACCAACGAGATAAATTAAATATTGCAAGTTGTGGTTTCAATTTTTACAAATTATCGCTAAAATTAACAATCTTTAACATATACAAAGTATCAGGAGAACAAAAATTGCTGTGGAAAGATATTATGCGCTGTTTAAAATCTAAGAATCGCAGAATTCGGGATTTTAAATCATAAAAATTAAAAGTCTTGTAAATGGACAAAGTATCAAGAGAAATAATCGACGAAGAGGATGCACTATCTAAAATTCCAAGAATTGCGATTCCGAGAAAGCATCTAAAATATTTCTACTTCATAATTTTTTAAGGAATTAAGAGATCGGCAGTATAATTTCGGAGTTATATTTATTAGTTGTAAGAATTTCGAAAGTTACTTTTAGATACTTAATTCAAAGAAATTAAAACAATGTAACATACAAAATATTGAACGATGTAAAAATATTTTAATAGTTGGAAAACGTTTTTTCTTACAAGTTCGTATGTAATGCTATATTTATGGCTAGGCGCAATGTTTGATTTTTTAATTAAAAAAATACATAAATAATCGTATTATAATTTACGTGGAGCTTATAGACTATACAATAAACAATACCTTCCGCATTATAACGCAAGAAAAAGAGAGAGAACATTACGTGGCTGTCCACGTCCTACAGTATGCAGGCACTGCATGCACAGTACATGAGCGGGTACATTATTTTAAATCAATTGATCACGTCGTCAATTGATTTAGAATAAAAATATCTGATTTGGTTAGTTCAGGGGAAAACTCCAGGCATCGGGGGTTATTCCAAAGTTATAGATCCCTAATAAATTATCTCTCCGTTATTAAAATAAATGCGCCTTTTTTAAAAACTATAAGAAATACCGCATAGAGAAAAAAAACTAGCGCTTTCATCGTTTTTATTGATAATTGCAACTTTTTAACGCAACAGTGAGACTAATGCAATGTATACCATGATTTAAACATTCAATGCTAAAAGCAGCAGTTGATTAAAATACTGCCATTGGCCGAGTATCAGGCAAGTGAGACCAGTCCAGACCGGACTGGATGGGAGGTGGTAGAGAAGCAACCAGGTAGGAAGGTAGGGAGCGAAAGTGAGCGCGTCTCCAAGAATGGGCAAGAAGGTGCGGTGGTGACCACTCTGCGAAAACGGTGACAGAAAGTTTCGCGGTGGGCGACGATAGAGTCTGGAGTATCGCTACTCGATCGGTCTTCCCTCGATCGCCTATCGATCGTAAAAACAAGGCAGAAAACAAAGCGCGTGCCGGAATGTGCCGCGCGTTGAGAAAAGCGCGACGATGAGGTGTATCGTGATATCGTAGCTGGTTGCCAATCCGCCAGCACGCGCGGAAGGAAAGAGAGAGAGAGAGAGATTGCGAAGGACGGAAAGGGAAAGAGAGCCGCGTGCCATGTTACGAACGTGTTGCTGATGCGATGCAAGCCAGTGATTCTCACCTCGCATCACGAGGTAACGCATGGAAGAAGAAGGCTGCTCCTGCGCGTTCCTCGACGTGTATTCAGTGAGCGTGAAGCCGCGGTGACGTAAACGTGTGCCCGCACGAACCGTCCTTCTTCGTCCGCGAACACATAACGAGGCAGCATTTCCCAATTTCGTCGGCGAGATGACGAGAAAACTCAGCAAGTTCTTGATACTTTTCGATAACACGAATCTACTGTACTTTCCTGGCCACTTCTTGTCCGGCCGTGTTCTCATAGAGCTGGACGATGAAGCTTAGTAAGTAGTGCCTTATAAAAAGTCAAAGAAGGTATCGAGTTCATGGTCGAAATAATTATTTTGTGCGTAAAGAAGTGTATACGTTGGAGAAAAAAATTTTTTTTACCGTGATAGCTAGATTTACGTAGATACGCGCTAAATCTAATAAGTAACACAAGTTTAATGATGTGGGGTACGTTACCGTAGCGTCTCGGGACTTCATTTCCATGTTGTGGGAGAAGGTGTAGTCCGGGTACGCAGTCAACGTGCCGAGAGAGTTTACGACAAAGAGAATTACATCGATTTTCGCATGCGGCTGTTGGGTGAACCAGGTGAATTTATTACTTCGGATTACATTGCGTTTACGCAATTTGATGATTATATTTTTTTAACGTTTTAAACTACGTTTCTGTCTTTAAGTGGCGCGCTTAAATAAATTATGTATTATTATGTATATTATACTGTACGATAATAGCTTGACAAAAATTTTCTCTATAATAATTCGCAATGACATAATTAAAAATATGACATCTTGACATTTTTTTAACTTAATTAAAATTTAAATTAAAATTTAAAAAAATACAATTAATATTTGTATGCTTTTTTTTATTGTAAAACGCAATTTTTAATAGGCGAAGGACCATCATTGCTCTCTCCCGGAATACATAGCTTTCCCTTCAAATTGGGGTTACCATTAGGTCTACCATCTACTTTTCTCGGAAAACACGGATGGGTGCAATATTATTGTAAAGCGGCTCTTCGCGAGCCGGGTGGACTTACTCACAAAAATCAACAGGTCTTCATCGTCATGAATCCGATCGACTTAAATCTGGAACCGCCGATATTAGCGGTGAGCGTTTGCATTATGATAACCGACAGATTAATATGTCTGTAGATATAATTTATCAGCGGGTGTTTTAAATTTGTCGACACCGACGGTCAGCAATTTCACTAAAAAATAACTATTACGAATAAGCAGTTTCCTAGATAAACATCTTCACATAACCGATTCAGACCAAAGAAAGTGTTTCGCGCGTGCAATTAAATGAATACCCCAGCGTTCATTACCATAACCGAGACCCGAATACTGGTCATCGACCTGTATGGAAAGCGTTGCAAATATCTTGACGCAAAGTAAAGAATTTAAGGAGATTATATATTCGACATTTGATACAGATGAATTTAAGACTCGATAAAAAAAAAACGCGAAGCATTCCAATTGCGCGATATTTGTATTGTGTTCTGCGCCAGTTGCAACATAACGATACTCGCTAGATCGTGATGGAATCACCGCCCATATACTCTGGCAGCGATGCATTTGCATCTCTAGAAAAACGCATGAGAAAATTTTCGCGTTGGCGGACAGCATTCAATTGTGACGAGCATTATTCAATCGCAGATAGATAAATATCGCTCGGTGAATATTGACGATCGGTAATTTTTGACACACCCTGTTTTCTGAAATATCGTTCAACTTTGATTTTGAAAATTTAACTCGAGCCATTTGAAAGCGATTGTTTGAGTACAAATAAAACGTCTTCGTGATTGAACAGCAACCTGCGAGGCAGGAGATCGAACAGCGCGTGGGTGTCTCTTGCGTGTCGGGTGGTCCTGTATTCTGCAGAGTGAGTCTGGATCGGGGTGGATACGTACCTGGGGAAACAATTGGTATTTCTGCGACTGTCAGCAATCGCAGCAAGGTACATTGTAACTATAACAATAGATGTAATTTCGACGCTTTTGATAAGTACAGTCGCGGCGTCAAAAGTACGAAGAACAATTTGAGAATTCGAATTAACAGGTGACGATGAAGTCGACCAAGGCGTCACTCACCGAAACGATACAGTACCTGTGTCGGGGTAAAGTACTCGCCAGCGAGACTCGCGAGCTGGCTAGCGTTTCTAGGGGGAAGATTCGGCCGGGTGAGGGCGAGGAGTGGCTAAACGAACAAATGTACGTTCCTCCCTTGCCGCCGACGAATCTGAGAGGGTGCCACTTGATCAACGTTCTTTACCACGTTTATGTGAGTGCCAAACAAAGATGTATACATTTCATTTTCAAGCGTGACGCAGTTGCGTCAGAATCGTCGCAAACGCGTTGGAACTCTTGAAACTTATCTCGCACGATTAACATTTCCTCGCAGTTCGTCATAAGCCCGAAGAGTTTGGACAAGGAAATCAAGTTACAAATACCGATCGTGCTGGCCACGTACCCCCTGAGGCCGGAGGGTGCACCAGCTGGTACGGCGCCATCCAAACGGGGCGCCCATTACCCATCGACGCTACCCATCTTCCGACCTTGGCTCGACGACAAGGCGTTCGAAATACAAGAGTGAAAGCTTAACATTACGTATCTATTATTGGATTATTACAAAATTAGTGCCTTTGTAAAAAGGTACTAATTTTCTATGATCATAGAAAATTTTATGACTGCAGCTGCGCCCGTGAGCTTACGATTATTCCGCCAAAAATCCTCACCGATTCTTGTATTGCTAGTCACAGCAACGCTCGTATAAAATTTCGAAGAATCGATGGCGATCTTTGAAAATACCGTATCTGGTGCAATTATATGTAGCTGCTAAAAAAAAATTTAATGTGCATTAAATCTTACAAATACTGACAATACGCTAATCGCTAATTGCGTTCATGAAGAAACAGATGTATAAATTGTATAATATTGTATAATATAAAATAATTGAATAACATCTTTTACACAAAATATGCGGAAAACAAGTATAAAGATAGGACGAACTAAAATACATTTATAAGGAAAGAATATATATGTATAAAGGAAAAATCGTTTAATGACAGAAAAATTTATTTTAAAAAACATTCAATTATCCATCTCTCCTTTCAATTTCGCCAAAACTTGATTTGTTGTAATTCCCGACACCACAACTATCTTTTGCCGACTTCGAGATCCCTGAAAAAAAAAAAAGAAAAGTTTAAAATATATACGAGCTAGTGAACTGGAGTAAGTTAACTGGGACACTAACCCGGTCTAAGGATACATCGGATTTTCTCACTCCAAAAATCGAAGCTAGATATTTTACGAGTTCAGCATTAGCTTCGCCTTCCGTTGGCGGAGCGGAGATTGCAATGCCTACTGCTTCGTCGGAAATATCTATGGATATTCATTTCTTTAACAATAATTATGCGATTCCGTCAATAAAATTCTTTTTCTTCTTTTAGACAAAGAATACACGATAACGCTAGAAGCGCTTTTTTATATAATAAAAAAATTTTATTCAACGACATTTCTTATTACCGGTTACATTGTTACATTTCGCTCCGGGTTTAGCCTGAATTTTAATCGACACATTTCCGTCTTTATTTAAGACCACAGGTCCCGTAGATGGAACCTGCAAAACAATGCATTAATAGAGGCAATTTCTCGACACACTTGGCGTGTGTAAAAGCGCGAGCAAGCAATCAACGTCCCGTTGAGTATCTATTATTATTCCCGGAAAAGCGAGAGGTTGAGTGATCACCGCATAAATTACGCGTTGTTTCTTAGCATAGTAGATTCTTGTTGTTTTCTTGTGTGCAAGAACCATACGTCTTTATTAGCACATTTAGCAAGATGAATTAAATATATGTACACGCTTCTCGCTGTAAAGTTGCCTCGGCAATTCAATATAAAAATTTTTATGGCCCTCGGTATCCACCATTGAAATATTAGGTCGAAAGATAATTTATTTTTGGAGTAATATGCATAATCTGTAATGATTCCCGCATTATCCTGCGTACATCAGGATACGACAATATTAAAGATCAACCCAGGAACAGGCGCCTGACTTTTTTCGCATATAATCACCTGGAGTAATATTTACACTCCAATTAAAAGTCATTGATATTTATTAATATTATAATTATATATACTATAATTTATTAATATTCGAGGACAATATGTATATAGATTTACTCAATATTTTCTGAAAAAAGTGAGGAAACAAAAAAAAATATTTAAAAATGGAAGAAGCACATTAAAATTCCTGTGACGTGTGAGCTTTATTTTTTTTATACTTGGATGTCAAAATTACTCCAGGCGCCCGTTTCCGAATTAAATGAGAGGTGAGATCTTTCAATGTGCCGCATTCTGCCGCGCTTATTGCCACGTGCTAAATGACAGCAGATTCCACAATTCCATCCACGTGCAATAATAGACCTGTTCATTTTTGCTCTTTTTCTTCTCACATTGGAAAGAAAGAGAGAAAAGATGAACTGTGCGAGAAGTCTGCGCAACTTCGCAATCGCGGTGACGACGAGATAACCAGTCGTATAGTTGGCAGACGTGGCTAGTCACTTCTCTGCTTCTACCGAAACGGAGCGGCCGGAGATAGTAAAGTGTACATAACAGAAAATGTCACGTTTCTTTCGCGATAGGTGATCGAGCATCGCGGCGAGCGAGGAATCGGTAAGTGCGGTCGTCAAGACGATCACTCACATCGGTGCTCGCCGTCTTCGGTGCCTTCGCGCTCTTCGTGGACCGCTGTTTCGACATCTCACGCGTGACGATTAAATACCCGCAGCCGCTTTTAAACCGCGTAAACATGTGCTCCCCGCGAAACCGCTTATCGTCCGTTCTCGCGAGATTAAAAATACACACACGTGCGCGATTCGTTTCGTACTATTACGGCCTTGGAATGTCGATTATTTTGATGTCTCTTAACCTGGATCTTAATAGTTTACACAGTGATTGCGCGCATGTCTACTGCCAACTGAAATATAGTAAACAGTATAGTAACAATATATAGTATCGTGAAACACGTGCCCACTATTTTCGAATGCAAGAAAAATCAATAATACAAATCAAACTCAAACTCGCGAATAACAATCAAGATTTACATATCACAGGTCAATATGCCGAAGAAATTTGTGGGTGAGAACAGCAAGGCGGTTGCCGCCCGAGCTAGAAAAGCTGCGGCCAAAGAAGCCGAGACTATAAAAAAGGCAAAGGAAGCGGAAGACAGAGAATGGGAGGATAACAATAAACAAGTATTGAAGAAGAAACAGAAGCAAGTATGCATCTATAATTAATATTAACATTGAACATCAAAAAGACAGCCGCGGTATTCGGAACGAGAGCCGTAATGCACATTTTATTATAATGCAGGAAGAAGTCGAGAAGAAACGTCAACAGCAATTGGAAAAGAAGGCGGAGGCGAAAGCTTTGCTCGAAAAGGAAATGTCAACTATAAAAGTCGGTGGTAAGCAGCCAGCCTCGAAACTTACTAGAGCCGAAATCGTTGCTGTCACTGAGAAACGAAATCAAGTGGCTATGAAGAAGAAAGAGGATGAGAAGCCGATCGAGGAGAATTTGAACAGATTGATTTTGGAAGGTGAAACGGCTCACAGTATAGACGAGGCTATATCTGTTTTGAGGTAATTACGTTCAAGACATTTGAGAGCAATTTGTGTAAAATCTATGTGCGATTACAGGCTGTACAATTAAGTTTTGAAAAATGTCGATATTTTATATTCCTAGGAATACAACAGTTATATTTCATTCCTTTCGTTATCTCGATTTATTATCATTTCTTTTTTAGCTCAAAGGATCCCGAACTTGATCGACACCCGGAGAAACGGATGAAAGCCGCATACGCGAGCTTCGAGGAACGAATGATGCCGATGATTAAAGAACAAAATCCTACTTTGAGATTGAGTCAGTTGAAGCAAATACTTAGAAAGGAATGGATGAAGTCGGCTGAAAATCCGCTTAATCAAACGTTACTGAATCGCTGACGATCACCATGATATCAAACGCGACACATACTTGCACATTATTGACTGATTATTTAATTTTGTTAAAATAAATAAATGACATTGCAACACTGCGATATAATCATCTGTATACAATTTTATTTGTAAAACATATAACTTATATTAAAAAGTACTGTATATGAAAAATAACGATATATAAATCATCTTTGGTAAAATCTATATGCTGTTCCATAGCCTCTGTTCAGTATTTGCTGGATCACTTTGAATAACTTTTTTATCTGATACGAGAGAGCGAAATAAATTTTGAATTAAAATTATTTTAAATGAAAAGACATAAATGCTTCGTATATTTTATGTCTTCAGTTCACTTGGAATATTTATATTGAAAAAGTTCTCTCAGGCATACTAAAGATTTAAGTTTAAAACATAATTAAATAAAGATATTCTTACTTGACAGTACATATTGAGTAAAAGACAATTTATATTAAAAGTTATTTCAAGTGATCTAGACAAATGAGACATTTTGTATTTATTTTATCTGTACATTTTTTCTGTATATCTCTGTATAAAACTTGGCACATTTTTACGAGGCCACACGAACTTCATTGATTTATCGTATCGTTCGACCGAATTGAGTCTTCTTGAATTATAAAGTATCTTATTTTTTAGTTAAATATTATATCTGACTGATAATTAAACGTTAAATATTATATCCGACTGATGATTAAACTAATTGCTAAGCAGTTTGTTAATCGCTTGAATCAATTTCGATATAATACAGCATTCTAGACATTATTTCTAGAATCAGGATGTTACTACTGCCATTTTTTGTTCTTCCACAAATCTATAAAACAATGTATCATGTGATTCAGTTGTTGGGGACATTCAGTCATTGGACTATGACCAGCCATTGGAATAGCTTCGAGGAAAGCCTTCACCATTGTCTAAAAAGTTCGAATTAAAATCATTAGATCTTGTTTTTTGGAAAAAAGTTATCTAGTTATAGATAGATATATAGTTTTAGATGGCATGTATAATCTTTAATTGGATGATCGGTCATGATATAAACTTACCCTTTCCATTTGACACTCTTGTACTAGCGATACTTTGTTGTCTCTTAGTCCGTGCACCAGAAGCGTAGGTGTGCATATCTTCCGGTGGAAGGCATAGTCACCCTGCGGCCAGTTCATGCCTTTCAATACGTATTTCATGTGCGAAGGCCATTGCTCTATCGATTCTTGACCGCAATAAGGATGTTGTCGGCCTCGCGCAGAATAGAGAATGTCTCGATGAAAACCGCACATTAGTAGAGGCGCGAGAATCGCCCTGAGACAACAATGACCCGCGCATTCCGCGCTCGGCGGAGCAAGAGGAGTTGGACCGCCGCCCGATATTAGCACGAGCTGATGGATATTGCTATCATATTTACAAGCTAACGCTGTAGCAAAGCTGCATCTGAAATTTATAACATATTAGGATATTCGGATGTCAATTTCATTAATATATATACATATAATGCCATGATATAAAAAAATTTAACTTTGTTTACTTTTTACAAAACTAATCATTCGAGATAAATTATTTAAAATTTTTAAAAGTAAAAAAAAAAGAAACATTTTACATAGCACGATTTTAAACAAACCGCATCTTACCCGTAATTATGTGCGACTAAGACGCACTTCTCTCCGGGTTTGAAAGCGTAATGATGTAGGACCGCGTCCAAATCCTTGAGTAACTTGCCGAAATGATAATCTCTAGAACGTCCGGGCGCTGAGCTCATTCCGTGCCCGAGCATATCGGGAGCGATACAGGGATAACCGAGGGAAGAGAAATACTGCAGTTGATGCTCGAAGACTTCTGCCGAGGAACCAAAACCGTGTAGGAAAACTATCGTTGGTTTCCTATTCCTTCGAAGCGTTACCGAATCGCGAGGACTTTGTTCGGTATTTTTCTGCGAAGAGATTTCATCGCACTCTATCCATTTCTTGCAATCTTTGAGCTCGATGGGAGGACTTTCCATTAATTTTACACCGATCTTTGATAGAGTTTCCTCGTACGGTGACGAATCTCTGCCATTGCTTTGGAATTCCAGGCGTAGTTTCTTGAAATCAGTCTCCGTGTCGACGGTGTCTTCCAGTCGCTCCATTTTCCACTCGGGATCAGTCGACGATGTCCCAAGTTTAGACGAAGTTAGTACAATATCCTGGGAGTCAGTCCCACGTTCTCCTTCTAATGGAACCGCTTTTTGCGAATTTTTCTCGAAACTATCCTCCTCCGCGTTATTCGTCGAAGGACCTCTTCCCAACTTCTCATCGATGATTCGTAAAAGAGACTGCTCGAAGCTGGGTTCTTGATCAGGTAGCTGAAACTCGATAGTCTCTACGCTATTTATTCCGGAATCCACGCAATCCAATTTTTCTGGAGAAATGTTTTCCGTCGGTATTCCAAGGTACAAACCTGCTATTCCACAAAAAAAGTACAATAGTAATGAAAATGTTTAGTGCGTGTAAGAAGGATTTCGATATTAATGAAATGAGAGATATAAATAATCTCATTTTCCCTAAATATATCACTTACTGTGTTTTCTCGCAGAACAATCGAACTCTAGAGAAGATAGTTCATCCGTCGAACCGACGAAAGCAGGATTCACGTAACCCTCGCCCATTGAAACTTTAGCGAATTGCCTTTTACAGTCATTTTCTGTAGTCCATTGTTCTTGCGTCTTATCCGCTAGGAGACGGGGATTAATATCGATTCGAAAGGTGTCATCTCTGTCCTTCTTCGTCGATATTTTCTCTTTGGATTTATCAGGTTGCGATCTTATAAAATTATTTTTCGTTCGCTGCCAAGAATGTTGAACAGTATTCTTTTCTGCATCAGTTATATGTTTAACGGTATCGTCCAGCACCTCTTCCAGAAGTGTATTGATATACCTAATAACATTTATTTTTTACCTTTATAATGCGTCCACCTTCTTAATTTATCAAATAAAATAGAAAAAGACAAAAAAAAAAACGGAAAATTCAAAATATTGCGTTTAAAATATATTTATGCGACATTTATTATTAGAAATATTTCTTTAGTGATAATTCAGTAGATTTTTTTGGCGTTTTATTTTTATCTACTATCCTTATTAAATTGACGAACTTACCTTTCCAAATCCTTGACAATTTGTTGCTTCGCGCTGTGTTCAAACGGCTGACGATCCGTCGAAGACACCGTCGTCGTCTCGTTCGCGCGATCGTCAAGTTCCGAGTTGCCCCGTAACTTTTGCAGATTCAGCGAGAGTCGTTGCTCCAGTTCCTCGATGCCGCGCGCGTTTTTCTCGGCCTCGCAGAGGCTCGTTCGGATGCGATTCAATTCCGCGGATATTATTCGCTCTTCGGTGGTGCTCAGCGCGCCGGCGGACTGGCGGAAGGAGCACCTGCAGTTTCCGGACGGATGCGGCCTCCTGGCCCATCGATTGAAGAAATTGTCGTTGACCGACTCCGGCCGGTCGACCGCCGTACTCTCGTAGTACCAGCCGCTCCTCAGGGTCGGCCTGAGTACGCGCAGCGTGCGTCGCGGTGCCACGATAAAGAAATCGCAGTCGGGCAGCTCGATTCTGCCGGGACTGACTCGGTAACGATTCCTCCAGCACTCGAAAACCTTGCCGTACCAAGGAGACCCCACCGGGGTCTCCTCTACTTCCGTTGCCATCGTTTCTCCTTCGAGACCCGCGGCCGAATCATAAATACAGCAGCATAGCCGGTTTTCGAAACGCCGATCACGCGACTGCCATAGCACCGTATTTATGTTCCTAAGTCGCAGCCTATATGAAATAAATAATATCAATATTTAGTGCGTATATTTAGTTCTAAAATTTCAAGTTTATTTCTCTAAATAAGTCGAGATTTGTATTGTTTTTTCGATGTATTTTTCTTGCACTGAGAAAAAAAAATCGTAGATTTAAAGAAATATTATTTGATTCAACTAAATGCAGTGGTCACGGGCTGTCAAGCTAACATTTGTTAATTCAAAAAATATTATATTTAAATAGATTCAGAATTTCTTGATATTACTCACGTATATTTGATTTAAATATATTAATATTTGCATTAAACAAATCACTACAACTAAACGAGTTTAGTCAAGTTTACAACATTTTTTTCTCAGTGTGCAATTGCATGAATTGAGTAAGTAAACAATATCTCTGTTCAACGATTCATTCAATTTTGTGGAAAGTTTCGTATTCAGCCCCACTCTTCTTATGAATTAACAATCATTGATCTTAACGGTTAATTAACTGTCAACGAAATCGCTACCAAATACCACTCAATACACTTTAGATTGTTAATGTTATAATTATGGATCGGCGAGTTTTTATTGCGCAAAGAGCGCACTTTCTCGATTTGCAACGCTTTTCCTGCGTGTTCCCCGTATTCGGTAAGATTTTCCCCGCGATAAGATTTCCCCGCAAAAAAAAACGAAAGCGTTCTTTCCACGGTGGAATAAATCGAAACGACTTCGAAGGCATATTATTTTCGAAAAGTGAAACTCTATAAATACACGCACGGATTCCAACTCGTTTTTAAAAACGAACTTGAGTTACACATTCTGGCGACAATGTAGACTTTGAATAACAGCGAGTGCAAATTACGAGCATAATAATTTCAGCTTACAGAAGGAGTTTAACGAATAGCTAATTGTACATTCTTTTACAGCGACGTAAGCGTATCCTATCTATCGGAACAATCTTCTAGTTAACCATACCAGGAAAATATAGCGTCAGAGCGTATAATGCGCGTATTATTCAATGATTTCACTTTTTTTCTTAGAAATATATGCTATTAAATATTTATTTCTCGCTTTTTAAACGCTTCAGCGAGAAATAAGACATAACGACTGTATCGTCTGGAGCGTATTAATCCGATTAGATTGGGTGAATTACCTACGTAGGAGTTTTAAATGAATTTTTACGCAGAATTGTTCTTCGAAATTATTGATGACTAACGCATACTTGAATTTTATTAGATTTTGACATTTTAAAAGATATGGGAAGCCGCGATTGTTTTCGAAAATACCATGCTTGTTTCGAAAGAAAGCGGAAAGAACTCTTACAAATATTGCTTCCTAAAGATCAAGGGTGTTCTGCGGAAGTGCAGAAGTATTAATTACCTTTTTCAAGCGGAGCAGAGCATGTGCATAACAACATTGCGTACACCAGTCTAACGAGTGATACTTCACGACACTGAGTATCAAGCACAAAACGTTCGCTTCGGTTGTCGAGATTCTCGCGAGAGTTTAACAACTGCAGTCTTGCGACGACGTGATGCGCCCGGGCACGATCGCACGCGTCCTGCCGACCACTGTGTTTTCGCCGAGAAGCGTCAACGACACACGCGATGATGATGGTGATGATGATGATGATGATGGTACGTCAGGACGCGGGCGTCGTCTATCGGAGCTCGCAGTCGCACGGACTCGCGTCGAATGGTACCACCGCGGCGGGGCATCGCGCATTTTTTTTTCGTGGACGTCTCTCAGCCGGCAAATTAAGTCGGGAAAATTGAGGACGATTAATACTTAAGGCACGCAGCACGTCGGCTTACACGGCAGCCATTGTAAGCCTCGAACACACGGATGGGGCCAGTACGTTCGAGAGAGAGAGGCCTGCGGTCCCCCTACCATCGGTAGGGAAGTCGTTCGTATACAGGGCGTTTAGAAAGTCCGCATCGACCTCACCAATCTGCCTCTAGCTCGCTTGAAAGCACTGTTAAATGGAATGCCTGCGATATGTGCATATGTTCGCTAATAACTTATACTGTATCTTAGTTATTCGTAATCCTCAAAGTTGCGAATCACATTGTACTTGAGACGTTGTCTAATACTAATTTTATGACAAAGAAAAGTTTGAGTATTGAAGATAGGAGTGCCAGGGAACGAGCGGTCTAATTCCTACTTTGTCGCCACCCTTTGCTAAGCCTTTCGTCAACAGCTTTGTATACGTATCTGATGGGTAGCGGTATTCTCCCTTGAATGGAGACTTCCATGACCGGAAGAGACCTTATAAACTACGATAAATCACGTACGTGAACGCAAGCGTGAAAGATTTTATAATCGCACGACCTATTAAAGCGGCTCGTGACGACTGCCACGAATACATGTACAGTAAATAACTGTACTAAGATGCCGGGAGCGAAAAAACGGAGTACATCGAGAAAAATCAAGTTGATAATGCAATTTTCAGCTGCAATCAGGCTGCTCAAATAACAGTTTGTTTCCAAGAGTGCAAGGATAAATTAAAATTCTAAAAGTGTATTTATTCGCGAGCAACTTTATCGATGAGCAACGTAAATAAAGGAAACGATAGGATATGTTTCCTGCTCTATAACCCAGATGATTATGATAAGACCGAGTGTCGCTGACCTATTCGAAGTAGCGATTTCATCGTTTCTTCATTTGCTACCAGGAGATCGATCATCTACCTTCGAAATCTTAAATTCGAAGCTCTAATTAAGACGGTGTATTTACAAAATTATTTATAATTTCGTTCGATCGTAATGAAGCGAACGTTCTGCGAGCAACGTGACTCTGCTGTACCATATCGCAATTAGCAAATGTAATTTCTTCGAGCGCGCGTAAAAAAAATTCGCGCGGTAGTACACATACGCGGGATGCGATAATGACACGTTTTGAATACACGTGTTTGCGGGACAAACGAGTTACGAGATAGCGCTCGAGGAATATTACGAGGAAGAAAGGTGCAAGTAGTGAACTCAAGACGCGTCTTAGCGCGGACAACTAAAAATAGAGAAGCATTTAAACGGTAATTCGCTCGGAATGCATCGCTGCAAAGTAGAAAAGTACTTCTATTTGCATTAATAATTTCTTCGTATCGTCGTATCAAACGTTTGTTGAACTATGTTTATTTATGATCGCATCGTGAACGCATCGTGTCTGCAGGTAGTGCAATATCATTATCGTTACGAAAGTGTGTTTTAGCACTTTGCAACCCCTGCCTTCGTTACGCCGCGGCGCCGCGCGTACCGCGGCTCTCGGAGAGGCTGCGGACATAGCGCGGACGACAGCTTCGCGGCGCGGTGCGGCGCGGCGGCCGGCGTTCCGCGATAAGCAGTGCAAATTTGACGTTGCACTCCGTTGCCAAGAGGCAGATAACAATTTACGCGTTAATATATTAGCCGACGTGCGACGACGTATCTTTACGAGGGCGTGCGGCGCAAACATTTCCAACTAAGACTTTGACAGCGCAAACGCTGTCGGTATAATGGTCATTAACCCCGCAGCCCCGGGTATACGCGGCTTAAGGTATAAAGGGTTGCGTCGCTCATCCCGCCCGATTACTCCGTTGTGAGAATCTCGGCGCTATGGAAGTGACGCATACGCTCGTCGTGTACCTTCTCGTCGGTTTGAGCACGCTGTTGGTGCACGCCGAGAAGAACGCCGGGGGAGTCACCGAAACAACGATCACCGAGGACCAGCAAAAGGTGTACGACGAATGCCGGAATCCGGACTACAAAAAATACGTCAAGTGTTTAATGAGGCCGAAGAGGCACGGTCATCACACAGGCCACGGAGACGGGCTGCCGGAAACTGGTAGATCAACTAAATCGCTATAACAATTGAGATAAACATGGGAATTCGCGTGCCGCTCGGAAGCCTCCGTTCAAACATATTATGCAACTGCAGCTGTTGCACGATCACTTAGAGAGATAAACCGTCGTATTAAATTAAAATTACTGGAACTTTTATAACGTAGCAGACGCAGTTGCGCAACGCGGTTAGTCATTAGCGCGGCTTTCAAGTACGGTGCGGATAAGTATAAGCGATACCGCGACGGCCTTTATTGTTATTCACTTAATTATACTTGGCTATCTACATGCTGTATACTAGCTAAGTGCCGTACATTTTGTTCGCGTCACAAAGAAAATTGTGCCGTACTGCCGCAGGCGATAAGCAATAAAATTCTGCAGATGCCGCTCACTGTCTGGAAACGTGTCTAAAAAAGTGCGATCATCACTTGGATCACGATTGCGAAAAGAAATGTGGCTACTGCACGAAGAGAACCAGGCATAGACATCAGATCATTACGGAATACGAGACGGAATGCGAATCGGGAAACTGCGGTTCAGCTGACGGCGGGTTAAGGACTACTAACATAACGACGAATATCGGCATTAACAATATCATTAATCCTTTTGGAGGCGTTAATGGTACTGGAATCAATATTTTTGACAATCGTACTGGACCCGGAGGCTGCTGTCGTGAGTTAAAATCTCTATTTATTAACATAAAATCTAATTTATATAACTTCCCTAAAATGCAACAAAGAGTATTTTAATAAAATTGGGCTCATTTCCGACAGCGCCCGGTCGTCCTTGCTACCCTGGTACTCCTCCTTGCTACCCTGGTACCCCTGGCACCCCTGATGGTATCCCTGGTATCCCTGGTATTCCCGGTGTCCCCGGTATCCCCGGTATCCCCGGTATCCCCGGTACTGGACTCGTATCATCGATTCCTATAGTACCTCAAATCTCGTTAGTTCCGCAAATTACATACGGAGTAGGAATCGGAACTGCAGGTGGGTGCGCGTACAATCAGTGGCTTTGCATTCAACAAACTGGCGTCCAAGGAGTACAGGTAGACATATTGTATCGAGTCAGAAGTGTATCCTTTATATATTAAAAGACAATATATATAATCGTAGTTTCCAAGTGTGCAGCCTGACTGCTCGGGATGCGGCCATCCTGTCTTGCGTTACAAGTGTGATGTAAATTGTTACGCAACTTACACCAACACAGCAACTAAATCACCTTGTAGGAGCCCGGAATGCGTTGGTGGTGAGCATTTATTATTAACTCGTTAATCAATACCATAAAACTATCATTAATCAATATCAATATCATAAAACTATCATTAATCAATATACCAATATCATAAAACTATCATTAATCAATGCCAATTATCATCAATTCTTTGTTGTCCGTAATCAATAGCGTTGACATTTCTACTTTTATTTACGCGCGTTACGCAAACGTAATATTATTTTATATTTTAGGTTCCGCGTAAAAATATCTCGGATCAAAGACACAATTTTAGGAACGGAGAATATTTTATTGATCGCCCGTATTGTTTATATTTATGCAATCTATAGCTCACGCTAACAGTGGTGAACTCGATCAGAGATTTTGTAGCCGTGAAGTAGCCATAGATTTACCATAAAACAATCCCTCACGTACTATTCGCCGAAATAATTACCTATGTAACGATCAGTTTTGCAACATTAACTTATGAAATAAAGGCAATATTATTTTTCTTTTATAAATATATATATATCCTACATTCCGTATCTTATCCTGTATACATTTCGTATTTTCCATATCGTATATCTCTAATATTCTAATGATTTGTGTTAGTGTGATTAAATTAATTATCAATTTAATGATATATCGTACTGTTCTAGCTTTAGTTGAGACTGCGTTTTGAGATCGTTAATAACGGTGGGCGTGGTTTGTTAGGGCGAAGAATTGTACATAAAATTCACGCGAATAATATTAGGCTACCAAGACCAATCCTGACCGTAAACTCGTTTTCTCTAATTGATCGTACATCATATCGATCCTGTCTCACCTATTATTATTGTTCTTTTTATAAAGATCTTGTTTCGATCATGTCCACGTTGAAATATCGTTGGTGAATTATGTTGATCAGTTGTGATGTAGAAAAGAGTATACTGGTAAGAGCGCGGCCATGTATATCTGGTTGTCAATCTCCTGGCGCAATACAAAGACTTTCCGTCGCGATTAAATAATAACGATTAAAATTATTTAGAAATAAATTAAGTTATATATTCTTTCTCTTAGCCGAATGTGGAACCATGAGAATCGAAAATTTGTAACAAATATGAAACAGTTTAAAAAAAATTGTCTGCAGATTTATTATTTCGACATATGGCTGGAAGTAGCGTTAGAATGTGATGTATGTAATGCATGTAAATAAATGAATAGTCGAATTGAAATCACAGACGCGATTGCAAAATTTGTCTTGCGTTATGCGTAACGTATCGACAACCGTTAGCACGCTGCGGTCGCCGGCATCGACTGCGTCGCGTGGACAAGCGATGTGCTTTCGAACCCCTACGGACAAGCGAGTGCGAGAAGGCTCCGTCAGGTGTCAAAGCGGGAACAGGTGCTGGAAACGTAGAGCCACAATATTCAGGTGCATCGTGGCGAAAGACTGTGACATCACAACGTTTACGAGAAGGTTGAGCGCAAAACGAACGGAACTGTTTATTTTTTATTCGCATTTTTCATCGTGCCATCAAAGCGGGATGTTGAAAGAGATTTTCTTCGAGACGATCAACGATACGAGAACGAGAAATATTCGAAGTTTTCCATAGAATATTACTTTGGCTGATACTCGTGTAGGTAAAAAAAAATGTTAAATGATTATCTGCTCAGTCTGTTGAGGGAAGTATAGGTACACGGTATGAGTAAGTGGCGAGTAATTTAATTTGTTTTTTGTTTCTGTCAGAAAATTATTTAACATTTTTTCTACGAGCCGAAATAACAACTTAAAAGCAATCGGTATTTACGATAATTACTCGATCACTTTATCATTATCGCGTTCGCACGTACTTCGAGAGGAGATTCCAACGCGAGTCTGAGCCGCCCAGACAAAAAATACTTGCAGACGTGAACCTATTACCTGCCTTTCGCAATGCACCAGCTTCGATAAGGTTGGATAGCGAAAGTACTTGTAGCATCCCGAACAGGCGCAGCGTGGGAATAGCAACTTGTTTCTCCTACTACCATTTTTCTCTCAATTCCGAGGCGTGGATGGATCCCTTTCTAAGAGAGTTAAGTGCGTCGTTAGCATGGTTCTTGCCATGTTCCGCGGATAACACGACGAGGATAAAAAATTTTAATGCACCAGGGGAAAGGAAAACGCGGTTTTCCATCGGTCGATTTTAGCGCGCGTTAAATGTAGTCCGTCTTTCTTCGCATCTGCAAAAACGTCAGCGTAAAAGTATCGTTGTAACATAGAAAGTTAAATTGCAAGAGAAGACGGATACAAAATTAATTATAAACGTCACAGTTGACTCTTTCGTATAGAATGTGTAATAAAATATTCGATTGTTGTAAAGCCGAGGCGCTTACGTTTACTGATCGGCATTGAAAACGTCATATCGGAGGAGACCCGGAAGTAAATATTCTACGAGGGAGTATTTCACGCGAGGAAAACATGTAAACGCAATATTTTACCGGCATCGATAGGTACATACACAACCCGAACAACTATACGCTAGGCGGACTTGCCCTTAAGCGACGCCTTCCATCGTTATTGTATTGTTAGAGGAGACAGCTAGTCCGTACGTACACACGATGCCGTCACCGTATACGTTACGTTGTGCCACGCCAGTTTCTCGAATGATAAGAATGCCGCGTTTCCCCGTGGCGAACTCACGGGCCGGACAGCGTGGGCCGTCTTGCCTCCGAACAATCAAATTTACTGCGAGCGCGCAGAGGATTGTTCCTGTTATTTCAGCCCACTCCTGCGTCAGCGTTCGCCAATCAATTTCTTCTTTCGTTTTCGAAATTCTTTTAAAAACGACCTCTCTATGGCTACAGTCCATTTGCTACGAATGCTTTGAAGCGTTCTTCTTCTTCTTCTTCTTTCTTCATTGAAAGAAAGGAGAAGAAGAATGCTTCGAAGCATTTGTAGCGTTAAGTGGACCGTAGCCTGTATTGGGAAAGATCTCTAATTTGTTTGTTCTTGAAAAAAAAAATTAATACTGTGTGCATAGAAAAGATGAGAGTTATAGAACGTTATGACTTATTTAAGGAAGACATTTTATAGTCTATATTGTAACCAAGTACTGAGGAAGTATATTCCTCGCTTCCTTTCCTTTTTTCGATCTACACCTGGCGTGAGGCTTATCAAGCGCATGACGACGGACCACCCACGGATATGTGTATCGGAACCCAGGTGGAATCATTAGAGCGAAAGATCGGCGCGTATAGCAGACCGCTAACATCCGTCGGTTGGTGTATCAAAAAGTCATATACCGTCAAGCTGTCAAGTTTCGCTCTATACAATATATATTTTTTTAATAACTCTCCGTCTATTCTCTGTGTGTACTTTGCGTAAAAGGATTGAAGGGTACGCCGCATGATATTGCGCCAACAATACGCTGCCCCCCTTTATCTCCCCCCCCATAAAGAACATTAAATTTTCACGGTTTGTGAACTTATTTCCCTGTAAGGCTCGCAGGGTGCCCGAAGACGCCCCTCGAAGTCGCGCGGCGCGTGCCATCGAGCTCGAATGAGGCTTCCAATTAACTCGAGCACATGTCATCCGCGCGGGTCGACTTCCTGCGGTTAAGAATTTTGCCGGAACACACTGGGCAAAATGTTAAATTAGTGGAGCGTGCGAAGTAGGGAAATAAGACAAAGACAAAAATATATAAGAGATCTTACAAGCTTATCTACTTAACATCTTCGCGCATTTCTGGTCTTTCGCGCGGAACTCTACGTAAAAACAGTTAGGTAATCTTTGTACAAGGCTGAATTTATGTAGCGCATCCGATAGCCCGGATAGCTAATCGATTATTTACATAAGGTCCGTCGGTGGTCGCATCAAGATCGTCATCGGTTGAATAATTCGAGGAGTCGCTGGCCTGTAAAATGACTACCACCGTGGGCATCGTCGAGAGCGAAGTGGAAGTTCGTTGGGGACGGCCCACAGTCAAGGGTTAGCAAAAGTCCGTTACAGTTATTCCTTGAAGCAATCGTTCAATCGGGGAGCACTAATGAAATGACCGGTAATCGATTTGAACGATGTTACACGCACGTACACCCCGCGTGTCACATTTGAAGCTCGATGCAATCGAAATTTTCAAACGCAATCTTTTTCGAACAGTTCAAAATACGAGCTAAGTACTAATTTTCAAAATACGAGTACTAATTTTCAGTGTCTAGAAATTCGGATTATATTTTTAACTTTTTTACTGTCCACGAGATACATATGACTCACGAACGTTATTCTTATATATACATATTTATGAGTTATATTTATACTAATGTGTCGATGAGTCACGCGCGCGATCATATAATTTAAAATAATTAAAAAAAATCGAAATTAAGTACGTCGTATTCAAATGGAAAACATCGGCAATATGAGGGAGCCAAAATGAACGGAGCAGTAGGCGTGTTAAATCAGAAACGTGAGCTTTACATGGATAAATACGCATACTTTTAAACTTGTGATAAGATGCGGGCGATCATTAAGGCACTTCTCCCATTGAAAAATGCATTTCGTTATGAAGCTATTACGGATCCGTCGTGATCATTTTGCAAACGATCAGCTTCATTTGTCGTTGTCCGTTTTAACTATTTGCGTCTCGGAGGGTCGCTCATTTTCCTTAATTGCACGGCGCGACGGTACATTTAATTAGCTTTCTGATTGAGCCGATGAGAACAACAACCGCGCGTAACAGCGGGACATAATGATGGCTGCTGGATATTACAGCTGGGGGGAAGGGGGGAACGGTTGCTTTATAGATCCTGGTTCTACATATTGCTTATCGTTCGCCGATTGCTAAATAAGTCGGCGCCGACGTCGGCGTGGATTTTTTTCCTTTTCGATGTCGATTTTAATTTATTCAAGGAAGGTAGCCCACGATCCGGCCAATCCCGAGTCCGGTACTATTGTTAATTTAATTTCATTCGACAGGGTCGCTCGTAGGATCCGGTACGCATACTCTTTTTCAGTGAGGTAACTCGGCTTCGATATGTGACAAATGAAAAGAGCAACTTTCGATTTTTTTTTATACGTATACCTTCGGAAAGTTTTCCCGAAACAATAGCTTCCCAAAAATAGTCTTCCAAATCGGTTTTACACTGTTGAATTCGTAGTGTCAAATTATACTCAATTTCAGTCGTTTTAACCATTCCTAGGTCTCCATTGCTCCTACTCAATATGTGGTTTAATTTAATTAAAACAATGTCAATTTAATTAAACAAGTTAAAATAATAAATTTTGACACATATGGTAATTAAAAATAACAAAATGTTATTTAACTCAAACACGGCATCGGTTTAAATTTTACCCTTCAATATTTAACAGAGTCTACCATGCTGTAAGCGATCAGCACTTTTTTGGCCATCTCGTGACTCAACGCTCTATATAGTCTATATATTGTACACGCGACATCGAGGTATACAGTGTGTCCACGCTTTTAGCATTAATTTATCGTCTGTTTGATCACATGTGAGATTAGTGAGAAATGCGTGGGCCACGTCGAGGTGTTCCTTAAACGCCAGTGTTTCGTAGTCTACTAGCACAGCCTACGTTTTTAGATCAGCGCTTCTGGAGGACGCGCGACATGTACTGGGTGTTCGATTCGCCGGTGTACGTCGGCTTTTTTTCTGTAACGAGAGAAGTCGGATTTTCTTCCCGGCTGTAACGCCGGACACCCTCCGTCCGTAACGCCGCTCGCTCGTTTTTCTCATCTCGCCAGTAGCCATGGCGGATTACAAGATGAGTCTATGGTGTAGGAATCGCATAGAGAGAGCGCTTTTTGCTCGGCTCAAGGCCTCGGCGCGAGAGATGTGAATGAATCTAGAACCTGTTTCTCCCCACAGGTTCTTCTCACACTTGCCCGACTTCTTCGCACGTAGTCGAGCGATACGCGATAATTTTACTGAAAATAGCGCGTTACCAGCGCTTTTTCTCGCGCCCGGACTTAGTCTACGTTGTAGCACAACGTTCCTCGTTGTTTCGTCAGCATTTTAAGGAACCGCAACCTTTTCTTTTCTTTTATCTTTATCGAACGCGCGGTCATGAAGTTGTTATCACAGCTCTGTCGAAACGGGCTGCAAGTTAACGGGGCTCAAGGTCGGTTAGACAAAGGATAAGAGCGGCGCTCTTATCGTTGATGTTACCACCGTTATCGCGGAGCATTATCATTAATATAAATTATTAAGGGGAAAGAAACGGAGAGACGAATAAAGAGAGGGGGAGAGGTAAAGGGATCATGCAGCTCCCCGTGCAGGTAGCGCCACAGGCAATCGGTGCTCTCGTGATACCGGCAGTTTCGAGCGAGTCCTGCCGGTGAGCGTTCGTACGGGCCGAGCGAGCGGCGGGGCTTCTTTCCCTCTCGTCGAGAGTGGCCGAGAGACCGGTGGCGGATATCGGTGCATCGTTCCTCGGAGCTGCCTCGCGTCGCCTCCAAAGCGCGAGCGTGCGATACGGACGGCCGTGTAGCAGTGTCGTCGACCGTTTTGCTCGTCGGCGCGCGGTTTCCGGGTTCGCGGGCGCGCGAGTAAAATTAAGATCGGACTTCGAAGATCGGATCGCGGGAGCCGATGACGCACCGTTTCATCCGCGGGACCACGTTCGCGCGGTCGAGGAGCAATAACGTCCTTTGATCGAAGGCAAGTCTCCGCACATTTGTCACGGTATACCTTTGTCTCTTTGTTTTTTTCTCTCGCATCCGCTTCACCTTCTATCTCGCCATTGATAATTAATGATAGTTGCACACGCACACCTCTAGGCTCTTCAATATCTCTTCTCGATAAATGTTACGTTAAATTGACTAACGAAGCTTTTCCCACTTTGTCCGAATAATTTAATAATTCTTACAGTTGTATAATTGTGCGGAAAATTAATCGCTTTTGAGCTGTACAATATTGGAGCGCTTCGTTTGTTCCTCATTGGTTTACATTCAGCCGTGCTTAATGCTTACTAGATATCAACAGATGCTTCCTCAGAGGACATTGACGTACACAAACGTCATGTACACAGCCAGTTCCGCATAAATTAGAGCTCCGACACATTAATCTTCCAGTACAGTATATGTATACACAAGTCACGTATTTATACGATGCTACACAGTTACACCAGAAACTGCCGGCTTTTGTGATTTGACTAGAGATTTCGTTATTGATAAATCTACTGTAATAAATTCTCTCTCTCTCTCTCTCTCTCTCTGCAATACAAATTACGGAACCGTGGACCCGAAAACAAACGTTAGTTCAGCTAAGAGTTAAGTCAGAACAGCTTCTGTCGCGACGCTCTCGATCGTTCGATCGTCTATCTATCCAAATTACAAATTGCACAAAACGCTGAAAAAAAATTGAAAATTTGGAACACCGCAATTCTTAATTCATACAGCTGTTGTAAAAAGGAATATACTGAAACTTTTCGCGATTATCTTAAATTTGAATATTCGTCCAATTCAATTTTCGAAGAGTAGGATGAATGATGAATTAAAGTTAACAAGTAAAAGTACAGTAAAAGTGAATAAATTTACGTTAATTGCATTACACTCTCAAAGCTCGCTTTTTACTTTACTCGTTAATTTCATTATCGAGTTAATCCTTATCTAGTTACTTATACACTTATTTGAAACAATGTTAATTTGTTGTCACGGATAGTAACTAACTGGTTATTTATGAGCTTTACTTCATTTAGAGAGTTAAATATAAAAAAAATCACATTGACATAAAAAGAAGTCGGTATCAAGTCACTACGATGACCGCGATGCATAAATCAAAAAATATATATGCGAGTATTCTTCGCAGTTAAAAACCCCATGTGGTAAATAAGTATGCAATTTTATTTAATTATTATTATTTGCATTAATATCATATTATGGACGAAGGTCAAGGTTTTCTAGGTCATCCTAGACATTATTAACGACGTATCATTATATTTTTTCCCATAATACTTGAGCGAATACCTGAATAACGTTAACCCTTTCACTGTGGCAATGATCCGTGACCAAGAAGCGGCGATACCTTGATGTTCACGGTATATCGAATATATACGCCAAGTGCATATATGCGGAATAAATTGTACTACTAACGCTGCGCATTGCGCACAAATATTGTTACATCGTGCGTAACAATATTACATATTCGCTCCTTCAAACGGCACACACAAACGATAAGCACTCTACAAATCGATACGAGCATCGTATCCCGAATAAAGCAGTAGATATGATAACGCGTCGATGTGATAACGTTCGAATCGTACATTATAGCGGCAAAATCTATGGCAAATATATATTTTTTTTCTAGTAACACCGAGCATCGCTTGCGGCGGAGCTTTATAACGTCGCAAGTCACGCGTAACCCATTTCGCTCGATCGTATCGACAATGTAGTTAATACAAACAACGTAATTAACTGTCAGATGTATACGCAGCGCGCTATGTATGCACCGCGAACTCACCTATTTCAAGAGATAACGGTATAAGATCGTAAGCGGTGCGCGAGATGCATTACAGTTATGCAGTACGCCCGCTTTATTCTATCGGATTAAACACGCCCCTTTCAACACTTTGACGGACAACCGGGAAATGCGGTATTAAATAAGTGTGTAGGTATTTATAAAATGATTCTTATATAGAGAGTATCCAGAAATTTCACCTTGATATCCGATGAATATGTATTAACGCACTATACTCTATAAAATTTTAATCGGGAAGGTAATAGCGCTTTCAAATGAGTTTTCTACCCCTCGTACGAAAGTGCAGGGGTGTGCAGGTGCATGCATTTTTACCCTCCACACAGTACTCATGATTATATGCACTTATATCAACCCATCTATTTCGTGCGTCGCGAAGAGAAATTTAATATTGCACATCGGCTTCTCAGACGAATTTTTCCCTATTACTTCCCTACTTGTAGTTTAAATATGCCGAGAAAATGCATAAAAATGTATCCAGTCAAGGTACGTGGCTCTATTGCAAATGCATCTGCCTCAGCTAATGAAATAAATTGATTCTGAGTCTCCTTGACTATGGTGATTATCGATCGACCCTCGACTTTTTTTTATCAAATCCACAAGGTGTTCGGAAAAAGATCTGTCTGCGTTATTCGCGTAGCGAATGTATGCCAGACCGGCGCGGTTCGAGGACACGCGGCCTCGGGGCCGATAGTTTTACTTTCTACGAGACGCTGTTGAAGAGAAAAAAATAACAGGATGGGAGGGATACGGCAATTTTCGGGAGAGGAGAGAAAAGAGAGAAAGAGATCTGTCGAACGACCGAGATATTTGCCGCATTTTACGTCGGTGCGTGACACCGATTTCGTTCCTCCTGCGACCGAGCTGTCGAATCGAACACTTGTATCCTTCAGATCCGAGAACTTAGTCGAGCCATATTGAGAACCGGATTTTGAACCAGACTCTCTAGCTAGACGTATATATAAAAAAAAAGAGCTGTAGTTAGCGGTCGCACGTTATTATACAGAGCTATACGTATAATCGATGAAATGATGAGGGTGATGGGTAGCTGTTGTCCCTCGTTCGCAAGGACAATGGACATCTGCTCCCTGGCACGTACCGCGCGTTTCCCGAAAGGCACGGCAGGTTCCCATGGTTGAGAGTCAGGTGTGCCTAACAGCGCAGACGTGAAAGCGCGAGCCCTGCAAAGACCATATCAGACACCCGCATCTCTCTCTCTCTCTCTCTTTCTATTTCTGTGTTTATACGTTTGTATATAACTGACTTTATACAAATCCCGTATTTAAGCAAATAGCATACACTTTTCAGGCTAACGATGCAGAACCGTTAAACCTCCTGCGTTGTTGAAAACGTAGTTTTACAGTGACTAGTTCCTGTTAGAGTACACGGGATTATTTCGCGTTTATTGGCGAAATATATTTGTGCGGGTTGTTAATTTTACGTTCCATATTTGGTAGCTTCGAATTGGGAAAATGAAGAGGCTGTGTCGTAATCCGAGTCCAAATTAGGACTTCGCTCTGGCTCCACTATACTAACAGCTTCGACTCACTGTTACTTGGTAACAGTTCGATGTAATACTTTCGCATTAATAAAACCTGGAAAAAAAATATATAATTGTTTTATTTGCGAGAATTATAAATTATAATCGGCTAAAAAAAGCGTAACGATTCTATTTGCTTAACTTAATAATTAAGAACTTAACTTACACTTTTACAATTGTATAGATACACAGATACAAATATGTTAATTTTGCCAGAATGAAGAGTTTTGTTCGACCGTAAAGCCAGGTAGATCCTCGCTGTCCGTACTCGTCGAATTTATAATCGCCTAGATCGTACCGAAGATATCAACCGTTATCTTAGTCTCTTCCAGATATATTCTCGACCAATGCTCTCAGCTTAAGTTTCCGTAGCTTGAGTTTACGCAGACGCATTCTCTCGTAAACAATAGCAAGATAATAGTACAATAACGTTTTACTTATTTATTTTTTAAACTTCTGTTGCACATTGAAAATTTTATCAATTACCAACACGTCGTGGTCAATATTCTTATTCATTTTTTTTTTTTTTATCACCAGTCCCTCCGCCGAGCAACATTAAAATGTTTAAACTTAATTACATCCGTTCAATAGACGTGAGAGACAACTCTTAATGGAACAAATCTCGCGTGGAAGAGGATATGCAGTGCAAATGCGATGCGAAAAAAAAGAAACGAGGAATAGGAGGAAGAGAACGTGTAAACGGGTTCATTGTCCGATTACCTACCTGCGATGCTCTCCTCGCAGTTCATTTTGCTCCTTTTTTTTTTATTCAAAAAACGCGGAACACACATATGGGCGAGCGACAGATGTACATACGCGACGGCGACCGTTTTGTGGACGAGGGCTGACGTCACCCGACGACAAACCTTTCAAGGAAGTCCGAGGCTGTCTCGCGAAGCCTCCACCTTTCCCTTCCACGTTTCTCTCCTTTCTTTTCTCTTTTCTTACTCTATACCTACAGGGTGTTCCGTAGAAATTACCGTAGCCGATACCGTAGGATCTGTAAATTTCAGATGTGTTTCTCTCGGTCTAATTTTCAACATTATGACCACTAACTATAAATGGGATATGCTAAAGAAAAAAAAAAGAAAGGAAAAAATAATAGTTATGCAGCTGTTAGAACATGTAATTATTAACTGCGAAATTTATTACTTGTACATAGAAAAAAAATTGTTATATTAACAGAATTAGTCTAATTGGAAACAATCTTGTTAATTCAATACGTCATGCTCTTGTTTTAATAAAATAAGTATTTATCTCATCAATACCGTTCTTGAATTAACAAGATTATTGCCAATTAGATCTCATGCTGTTATTGCTGTTGATACAACATTATTTTTTCCGTGTACATCTCCGCCTGTTTGAAACATCTTCCGATCATGTGCTATGATTTATGTTATAGTTAGTTAATAATTTTATTTGCAGCATATCCTCACGATGCGTCTGTTCAAACGTTACACGGCTGATACGAGTCCGCAGCTCGTTTCGGCTGTGCCTATATCTCAAGACGTTGCGGCTGCGAATAATGCCGAAAGCAATACGTCTGAAAGATCGGAGAAGAAATTGAAGGCGGACGACAGATTGGAAGGTATACTTCCAGTAAAAGAAGACACCGACACGCCGAAAGAACCGACGGACCCTTCTATCCTGACTCGTAAAGGTAGGACTGCAATAAGACACTCGGGACATCGCGGTAACGTGCGCGTAAAACTTCTCGCAACATACCTATCCGTATTTGATATCGCTTCGTTCTTGTCTGTAATAAGCAGTAGCAAAGTTAAGGTTAATCTTGATTGACATCTTAAAATTGATTGCACCTTTGCCCCCCCCTCCCCCCACTCGAAAGGAATCTCCACGTGGGGACGAAAGATGGGTCGACGATGGGATCAAATGAAGAGGTCGGACAGCTCCGAATTGCTTTCGGTGCCGCGACGGCGACGACGGTGGAGCCCGCATCGGAAAAGCGGCTACGATGAAATCTCGAGCGAGAAAGAAAACGTAACGTCAACGTAACATATAACAGTTAGCTTAACCCGCGTTAGCTTCGTGCTAAGACGCGAATAAAACTTCCTTTTTGGGAAATATTACAATGAATAATCAACATTTTTTAGGGAAATAGCGAACTCCCGAAACCAAAGAGAATTCCCAGAGTAGAATCGTTGAGAAATCTCTTCAGAACCGGTGGCGATCATTCTCTTAACGGCAAGAGTTCTACGAGAAGCGCGACGATCCAGGAGGAGGATGCAGTTGTCAATGTTAGCCATTGCCCGATGGGGAAGACCCTCAGCGAAGGTGCGATCAAGAAGCTCCCATTTCGAGGTATTTGCGCAGAGAATTTCGACGATCGCGAGGTCACTGAAATCAATCGGGAAATGTTTCGCCAAAAGAAATTGCAACTGAGTCGCAGCATACAGGATCTGCAGGAGCAACAGCGACTGTTGGATTACATACTCAAGAATCACGAGAGCCTGAAGCCGCGTCAGGGTGACGCGTCCGCGAGAGAAACGTTGGAGAACGTTGGAACGAGCGCGAGTCCGAAATCTTCGGGGGAGACGAAAAGTGAGACCCCGACGCGAACGCCTGATCATCATCAGTCTGCCGGTAACGCGACTGTCAACGAAGCTAAAGGAAATTCGTGTCCCCAAGGATTATCTGCCGGCTCGCTGACCGGTCTGGAAGATCTGCTGAGCAATCTGCGCATAGGTTGCGACGAAAGCGGCTACGATTCGGACAGTACGCGAGCCGGCGCGGACTCGCCGGACAGCGAAAAATCGGCGGTGCCTCCCTTGTTGAAGCCGCGCAGTTTCTCGATAACATCGGACGATTATCGCGGTATTGACTTATCTCTACTCGAGGGTTTGCAGAAAAAACACGCAAGTACCGTGACCGAATCACGTTCGTCGGAAACGTGCGATTCGAAGATCGAGAAGGTCAACGCCGCCGATGCCGCTGTCGATGTCGCGGCGAACAATTCTTCCTTCAATGAGTCGACCGCAACCCAATCCACCGTGTTAATGTCGGAGGAGGACGACACGGACAGCTGCGACGAGGATACTTTTGCCGATTTTCCGGAATACCGACCGGATTTAACGAAAGTTTATTCTAAGACGGAAGCGGATCTCTTGCCAAAGTCTCGCGAGGCTCTAACGAAAGCAGCGACCGCGACATCCGTTCTGCTCGGTGAGGATTTAACGAAACTCCACGTGACAGACCGTAACGATCTCGGCGTTACACCGCAATGTGACGATGCTGATGCGCGTGGCACCGATGATGTCAAAATAAAAGTCGACTCCGACAAGAGGAAACTTTGTGTAACGCCGGAAAGTCATGTTAACGTATCCCAGATGGCTAAATTTCAAAATTTACTGAAGGACAAGAAGTCTAAAAATCGAAAATGCTCAAGTCCAAGTGTACTGCACCTCTTGGACCACGCGGCGTCCCCGTGCAAGGACACTCCACCGGCTAACAAAATCCATTCCTTATCTGACGCAATAACTCATCCTTTACGATACTATAGCCCAAAGAGATCGCGTTCCACTCTAGAACTCGACACGTTAGACGTGCCGAGAAACGCGGCGAAGAAGGTGTCCTCGGTTCCTATCGCTTCCATTATTAAGCCTGTCACTGCCGCTAACAAGATCCTGGTACGACGTGAATTGAAGACGATGAAGCTGACGGTGAGCCACGCGGCGGGTCTCGGTATTTCGGTCGAACGGTGCGAGGCGGCCAGGCCATTCTACGTGATCGCCAAGATGGATCCCAACGGCGAAGCGGCCAAGTCGAGGCAATTCCGCATCGGCGACGAGATCGTTCGTGTCTGCGGGCGTAGGATACGCGGCATGTCGATGGCTGAGGCGCGAAACGCCTTGCGGAGTTGCGTTGGCACGGTCGAGCTGCAAATCGCGAGAGAACCGATTCCGTCTTTCGGCGAGGAAATCGGCGACACGTGGGGCAACGCCTTGACGCGAACGCGAAGCGATCCCGACGCGTGGATCTCGAAGAACAAAAGACTCGAACTGTCAGTTCCGTCCGACGATACGTTATCTTCAACGAACGCCCGAATCCACCGCGCCGTTGACGACGCGACTGTTAGTTTCCAAAAGATGACGGGTATGAAGAAGTTCCAGGTCGTGAGGAAACGAAGCGCAGAGGCGCCCCCCGTTCGACGAGGGTCCAGCTTATCTATCGATCTCTTAACGATCATATTGGAAAAGGGCGCGCCGAAGAAATTGGGTTTTTCCATCGTCGGCGGCGTGGACAGCAATAAAGGACGCATGGGTATCTTTGTGAAGGATATTATGCTCGGTGGACAAGCTGCGGAAGAAGGTATCGTATTTTTTTTTGCACCGAAGCATTAGTGTGCTATAAGGTTTACCATAGAATGTGAAATTAATAAATTAAAATACAAAACATAAAAAAAGATACAACGTAAAATAATATAAAAGGGAAACAATGTCTGCAGCAGTTTACCTGTAATGTTAAAGGTACTCTGAGAGTGGGAGATGAAATATTAGCAATCAATGGCTCCTCGTTGGATGGACTGACGCACGCCAAGGCGTTACAGATGTTCAAGAGCGCCAAAGCTGGGAACTTGATACTTCACGTCGCCCGAAGAGATCCAACGCATAAACGGTTGTGTCACGCAAGCCATGCAGTTTAGATTAATATTTAATTATTAACACGGTTAGTTTTTGTGCTTTGCTCTATTAACGATCACTGACCCCATTCACAATCTTTCTTTGCCTCTTGCTTTTAGCGTCGTTAAATGATTGTAATTAATATCATATAAGTATGTGAAATCTAATGAAAAGGTTTTCTATGTTGCAGATATGTCACACAATCAAAGTCATATGATTGCCTCGACAAATTAACGAAGTCTACCGACGAATAAAACTATTGCCATTATAGCGTTAATTATATTATTAATATTATTATTATTATATTGTTAATTTCGTTTCTAAAAAATATGATGAATTACTACGAGAAGTTACGAAATTTTCTATTAGATATAATTTCATAAACCCTCTGGGTTTATTGAATAAAAAGATTAAAAAATTAACATCTAAACATTACAAAATTTAGATTAAAAAAATTGAACTATCGATATTTTACGTTCTAAATATTTCATGCATTTCGGTTAGCATCTTAACGTGCTTTCGATAATATTTTGTATGCTGAGGGAGATATATATGTATATAAATCATACACACATAATTGAACTCTAATTGTGATAGCCATCAATTACTTGCACTAACGGATAATATTCATAACAATTCTTTTTTTCTAATAGATTTTTTGATAAATAAGAACATCTTGCATTATATAATATGTATAATATTATATTTAAACTCTCTAAATAAGATCTCAGAGATAAGAGCAATCCGTATTTATTTACGCTTTCATATATCTCTTTCATACTCAATTAATCTATTCTGTTTCAAAAAAAAAGGAGAAAGATAGAGTTAATTTTGCATAAATTTTGCAGAATAATTATTAAATTATATCGCTATTGAAACATTTGCATTTCTTATTCCGAACATATCTATTTAGATATGAACGTTGTATTCTAACGTTAAAGAAATGTTAAGTAAAGTAATGAAGTAGAATTAGTTAACAATAACGGTATTGTGCAGCTTTATAGCCATGTCCTGTTAGATGTGGTACGCTAACAGCTTGGAATATGGTTTAACTTAACAGCATCGTGGGATTTAACAAATGTTTTTATTTAAAAATATATTCTTGTGTAAATCGACCTACACGAACATTAAAAAGCTAGTTAGTTGCGCCCGAAAGCACGAAAGTCATCAACTGCGTATTGCGTAATGTTACTACAGTAACTAGTAATTCTCGTTAAGTTTATTTCGTTAAGAGACTGACATTACGAATGTCTACCTGCAAAATGCTGTGATATTGATTGTAGTCGCATCGGCTGATATTATATGAGTTGTATATTTAATAATAAATGTGATTTTGTTAAATAAAAGCATACTTGGCAAACTTTCTTCTTTCAATCTCAAATACTTTATACTCATCTTATAAAGTGCAGTATACTGATCTTTAAATTTTTATCTACACTTTGTTGGATCGAAGACGTATCAATGAAAAATTAGTTAAGCATCTATTTTAAAACTGATCAATTTTGTATCGATAAGAGTGCCGTGAAATAAGATATAGCCGTCCGTATCACCTTAAAACGATTATAAACGTATGAATCATTTTCTGCATGTTATAAATTACTTTTACAGATCTTCTCGTATACTTACCGCGGCGAAAACCGCCATTGACAACGGAAACAGATTACCTGCTGTCAATTTGCACGGCACAACACTTCTGTAGAGAGTTATGATTAATAATGATTTTAATCTTGGTGAGAATTTGTACCATTCCGCTGCATATCTGAAAGAATATATTTTTTAAAATTAGTTTTTATTTAGATTTCCATCAACACACGTCATGCAAAACTCTAGGAAATATCATAAATTGAAAAATCTTTTAAGTAAAATCGTATGTAATAATGTTTAATATATCAGAAACTTTATATATATGTGTGTATGTGTGTGTTTGCGTTTTGCGTAACATACTTTATGCATAACGCAATTAAGAAATATTTTGAATCATTGGTTCTATCTTAAAATACTGTAAAATCAATTTTCAAATTTCGAAACGTATTGGAAATGACGGAAATTTGTGAGAATATAAAATAATCATTACGCTCGATGGAATATATTTTGACTTTCGTCCATTACTTTCTGGCCGGAATAACACACGATAATCAATTGCAGCAACGCTCCCGCGATTATAAACAAAAATCTAATAATTTCTTCTAGTTGGTCTAACACATAGACGATCTATAATATATCAAAGGTATTATATATATCCACACGCCATCTGAAATATAATTATCATATTTTCACGAAATTTACGAAATGGCGATATTTTTAAATGTAATATATTAATGCTAATTATTTAAGAACGATATATATCCGTAATTATTTAATGCCTAATGCTTACTCGAACTCCAAGTAGACTGAAAACTGCAGCGACTAGTAATGAGAAGCTAATTCCGACAATTTTGTACGTGTCGTTTAATAGATCGATATATCTAATAACAACGATTTTAATTAATTACATGTTTTCGTTATATTACTTTGATAATTGTATCTTCAGCGCAAAAATGATCTCAAAAGATCGCACGGAGTCCCTTACTCCAAAGCAAGTTGATGTTTTTTTAAGCATACGATGTATTCCCGATATATCATTTCCTCGCTGAACACTTTATACTCCACATTCGTACAATGTTCGACTTCGTTGATTTCATCGCCATTATGCACATTCGATATCACATTTTCGATTTGTTGACTACAATATGAATTTTGCGGTATTTTTACGAAAAATACGTGGACGTATTTTCCCAGGTAGCACATATTAGTTTCATATACGTTTTTTGAACGTATACATATAGTTTCACAAGCGTAAAGAACCATTAAGAAACGTTTGAACAAAAATGTTTTCGAAATCATGATTTAAGAAACGTATTTTTTACGTTTCTACAGTTAACAAAAATACCTATTTATTATTATACCTAGTTATATTAATATACCTAGTTATATTTGTCATCGGACAAATCTGAGCTTAGAAAACTTTCAAAAGTTGCAAAATAAACCTTCTGCTAAACGTGGCCATTGAAAGAACATTTATACGTGTGTTCCGTTTTGAATAAGAACTTGCTGAACTGGTGCACATCAGTAATGCAATTAAGTTAGAGTGAGACAAGTATATTTTGTTTCATTTTAACTTATTGCACGAATGTGCACCAGTTCAGGAATTTCTTCGAAAAAGAATAGTCGTCATAGATGGTATATGCATAAAGCTTCTAGAACATTCTCACGCATGGCATGTCTCAAAGACGTCATAAACACGTTTAAAAGATGTGAAAAGTAGGAATTTTAAATGTCTTTATCTAAAATGTCTTTATCATTAAAACAAAACGTTTCTCTCTCTATATATAATACATTTTTAAACGTTATTTTATCGGAAAAGAAACGTTCTGTCGAACGTTTTTCGAATAGACATTTTTACTCATAAGAAACGTTTCTATATAGCAATCGGTTATAAAACGTTTCGGATAAACACTCATAAAACATTTGTGAAACGTGTATGTGCTACCTGGGTTACTCCTCCGTACTTACCCAATAAGTTGGAATAAGCTGCATGCGTGCGCGGTACACACTATGTGCATGGTATCAACGGCCACCATAATGGTCATACCCACCGTGATCATAACAGAAGTGTACAAAAAGATCGGTACAAAATACTTATCTTGATCTATTCCGTATTCGCTGTATATCGCAATGTGTCGCGGACGTGATTTATTAAGAGGTAGTACGATATCGAGAAGTATCGGCCCTAATGAGGGTATCGTTATAAACATCGACATCATGAAGTATATTAGTACTGCAAAATACGTTTGTCACTATTAATAATTTATAATCTCTTTTTTCTTTCCGATATAATTCACTCACTCGAGTAAGACATTGTAAATATCTGCGATATATGAGAGTAACTTTTTAAAATTCGAACTTCCAAATCGCTCGTAAATACATTCCAATGATCTTCCATGATTTCGTATAAACGGCGAAACTAATCGTAAAGAAAAAAAAACATATGACTAAAGTGATAATTAAGTATATGTATATATAAGAAATTTATTTCAATGAATATTAATGAAGAAAATGAGAAAGTCTACAATTCGTAATTGATGTTTTGGATACTTACCTTGTCGCGGTTCCAAAGCTGATTTAACAACTTTACAAGGAAAGCCGCCGTTATGACCATTTGATACAGACATTCAAAGATCATTTGCCCGCTGTGTCTATGTATGTATAATGTCAATATCTACCAGATAAATTATATTACGTTCTGCCAAATATATTACACAGGAAAAAGCAATATATCTTTTGGCGTGATGGATATGTTTTAAAGGCTAATTGCACGTATTCGAAAATAAAAAGTAATCGTATTACCTCGAATGGCAAGTAACTTATTTCAAGTATGAAGCAGAACATTGATAACAAACGTTTCGTGAGCTTAGGTTGGAACGGCCAAAGACCCAAGCACGACATAAATATTCTATTGACATTGTACTCTCGAAGTATATTCACCAGCATGACTTTAGCTTCTGCTTGTTTGAGAGCTGCGACGGAAATGAGGGAGCGCGGCATGAGCCCCTCTGTAGCGATCGATTTCGGCACGAGTCGGAACACGATCGTAGAATTATAAAATTCTAAATTGCGGGATGTCACGCATCGTCACAGCGCGGATCACGTTGCTCGGATCTCGAAAATTAGATGCCGTTTGTCGTAGACCGTAATTTCATGCATAATACTTCTTTGGACACCCGCACGCTGATGTCGCGTGACACGACAAATAGTCGAGAATACGAGAATGATGGTCTCTCTCCATGTCTTGAGAGACATCTTGTTTTAAATTTATCAATAAATTATTTTTTATTTCTCTACATTTACTCGATCAAGCTGCAACATCAACAGATGCAAGTTCAGTCGGTTTCAAATGCTCTACAAGTCTACGCGAAACGATACTTATATTTTTATAGTTATTTATATTTATTAATATTTAGCCAATGTTGCGTTACACGCACGTAATACAATGTCATACAAATGACATCGCAGCTTCATGCGTGTCATCTCTGTGCTCTGCCGTGCGGTCGCTTGATAACATCATTCAGTATCTGAACTATTTGTTGAACTATTTATAGACCCACGAATTACGCGAGGCAATCGCAGTTACTGCTCGACGGTGCACGTTCAAACATGCGTTTTCACGAAGATTATTCACGAATCTGCGCTTTCGTGTCTCAAAGAGCAGTCTTCGCAAATAGCGTCCGACCGGCCACATTGGTCATAAGCGATGGAAAAATCCAGGAAATATCATACGACACCGGTGAAGATGTTGTACGATATTTATCACAGGTAATTATCTCGCATAAATCGTTCGCGGGACAGGGGACGAAATGCAAATCGACGTTGCGTTTCAGAAATATCCCGGCATTCCGTTTAACGATTGCGGCTCGTTAGTGCTAATGCCTGGAATAATAGACTCTCACGTGCATGTAAATGAGCCCGGAAGAACCGAATGGGAAGGATTTCACACCGCTACACGTGCGGCCGCGGCTGGCGGCGTCACCACGATCGCGGATATGCCTTTGTAATAATCTATGTTTTCCTATATACGTCTGAAATTACATTCAGACGTATACATATCTATCTCATGTTGTAGGAATTCTATTCCGCCCACCACCACTTTGGATAATCTCAAAGCTAAAGCGAGGGAAGCGTGCGCGAAAATATTTGTGGACGTTGCCTTCTGGGGCGGGGTGATACCAGGGAATCAGGTACGTTTTCGCAAATTTTTAAATAAATATATTTAATACACATGAACATGTATAAAATTATCTTCGAAGAATAACGGGATACTAACCTAAGGTTCTCCTATCTATGACTGGAAATTCGGATAAATTAATCTTTAAACGACAGAAATGCTGTGAAATAAGACATGCCCGCTCGTACCACCTTGAATCGAATACCAAAATGCGTAAGTCTTTTCCACAAATGCGTATAAATTAACGAAATCTCACACTTACCGCGGCATAAGTCGACATTGATAACGGAAATAATTTACCTGCAGTCAAACTGCACGGTACAAAACTTCTGTAAAGAGTTATAATCAGCAGCGATTTTAATCTCGGTGAGAATAAATACCATTCCGCTGCGTATCTGAAAAAAAAATTAAGTTTTAAAATATAGGCGCGCGAGATTTCGGCGAATTTTACTTTAAAATTATTCCGTCTTTTCTCACTTACGAAAAAAAAACGAAAAAATATTAACAATTAAAGCTCGATTTATTAAAATTATAAAATTGAATCTATTATCTGAAATATTGTTTTCACAAAATTATATTCTGAAGTGCACTATTTAAATATATTTAAGAATGTTGAATAATTATTACGCTCGATGGAATACATTCTGGCTTTCGTCCATTAATTTCTGACCGGAATAACACATGATCATCAGTTGTAATAACGCTCCCATAATTATAAACGTAAATCTGGCCATTTCTTCGAGCTGGTCTAATACATAGACAATCTATAATGCATCAAGAGTTTTCAGGAAATTTGCGTTAATAATATAATAATTTCACTATTAGAATATCATTTTTCTGCATCTAATATATTTTATATAAAATTCAATAAGATTTATTTTATTCGGAATTCATTAAAAAGATACGCCTGTACTATTTATTTTTACTTTTCTATGATACATTTTGTTGAAAAGTAATTATTTAATTCTCACTCGAACTCCAATCAGACTTAAAGTTGCACCAATCAACAGCAAGAAGAATACTGCAACCGTTTGATGCGTCGAATTCAATATATCGACAAACCTGTAAATCACAATGATATGAAAAGCAATTTTAGTAAAAAGCAACTTATTGCATTATATATATATACAAAATATAAGAACGACTCGAGAAAACTCGACTTACTTTAATGCGAGTTGATATTTTTTTAAGCACGTAACATATTTCTGATATATCACCTGCTCTTTCGACCAGTCATGCTCTTTCGAGCCACATTCGCATTTTCGCGTGTGTTGCGTCGACGTAATCTGTTCAATTTGCTCACTGCGAAATACTTATGATTCTTACGAAGTATTTCTCAAAATGACCCAAGTATACCTATCGTATGCATTGCCTGCGATATACACTTACCCGATAATTGAGAATAAACTACATGCATGAGTGGTACACGTGAAATGCATTGTATCGGCACCCACCATTATGCTTATACCCACCAAAATTATAGCAGTAGTGTAACAAAAAATTGGCACAAAGTACTCGTCCGTATCTACTCTAAATTCAACGTCGATCGCTAAGATTCGTGGACGCGACTCGTTGAGAGGCAACACGATATCTAGGAACGTCGGTGTCAACGGGATTATTACGAACATTGAACTTAAAAGGTACATCATAGCTGCAATTTCGTGAAAGACATATTTTCCGCATTAATAATCTTAAACGCGTCTCATATTTCGTAATTATCGTTATTATCGCCGCTTATGCTAAAAATTGTGCAATACTATTGTGTACTTACTCGAGTAAAATATCGTAAATTTCCGCGATATGACGGAATAATTTTTTAGAACACGAATTTCTAATTCATTCGTGAATATATCCCAATGATCGTTCATGGCTTCGTATAAACGACGGAACTGGTCGCAACACAGTAACATATCGATAAAAATTATATTGAGACAGTGGTTAAAGAGATGTAGGTGATGCACATATTGTTTAGAAAATATACCTTGTCGCGATTCCAAATCTCATTCCACAGCCTTACTATAAAGGCGGTTGATATGACAAATTGATAGCAACCTTCAAAAACCATTTGCGCATCGTCTCGATGATCGTACAACATTAAAATCTACGTGTAACGTCAAGTTTTAAACCGAAACACATGTGGCAAGACAGTTATATTGTACAAAATTGATCTGAACATTGATCGATGCACATTACCTCGAACGGATAGTAACTTATTTCAAATATAAGACAAAACATCGGTAACGAATTTCTCACGAGCCTACTTTGGAACGGCCAAAGACCTAAGCGTGACAATAATATTTTATTGACATTGTATTCTCGTAGAACATGCACCAACATGATATTTCGTTTCCCGTTTAACAGCTACGATATACGAATGACGCGCGGTCGCGTGCTACATGTGCCATCGACTCCTTTGTTACGTCCAACCTGTCAGAAATTACGGAATGTCAAAAATCGTCAGCGCAAAGTAGCTGTTTCCGCCATGACATCGTATTAGTATGTCCAACTGACATTCTTCCTTTCTCATATTCCGAGTAGTGTTTATCGCATATTTTTTTCAGCATATCACATACTAATATAATGATATCGCGTGACGCGGTAAAGACGCGCGAGTAATAACGCGAGAGTGAGAACGCACCATCCTATGCCCTGTCTCATTGTTTTATTGATCAGATGCCTTCTTTTACGCTCGCAGTTGTTAGCACGAATTGCGACCGTTAGAATCGTAAATGTGGTAGTAAATGTGGATTTTAAAGTGCTTTTTGATAAGCAAAATTGAAGCAGTTTCCTATTGACACGAACGACAATCACTCAAAGATTATGCAAAGATTTTTAAGCAGGATTAAAAAAGAACTACAAAATGCACGAAACTATAACTAATTTTTGAGTGACAAGAATGTCATGAAGTAGGATACGCCTGCTCGCACTACCTTGAATAAAATACAGATGTACGCATAAGTTGTTTTATGTGCATCGCAAATGTAAAAATTCAAAATTCCATACTTACTGCACCAGCGGTCATCATTGATAATGGAATTATGTTACCAACTGTTAAACCGCAAGGTATAAAACTTTTACGAAGACTTATAATCATCAGCGATTTTAATCTCGGTGAGAATGTATACACCACTCCACAGCATATCTGTAAATATAGTTTATATAAAATTTAAGAATTCCTTCATATAAGAATTTCATGGATAATTACATACATCCGATTAAAAAATTAAACATTAAACAATTAAGTGTGAGCTTGACCGCTATGTGAATAATACAAATAAATAGAAATATGGCTGGGCTACCCTGGCTAGGGTGATATTTTTCAATATCAGCAATAAATCCTTTGTAGCGATTTTAAAGATAATTATTTAGCACATCACTATTATATTAAAATAATTATCAAATTAATTATATATGATTGTACTATTCTAGCTTCAGCTTGAGACTGCGTTATAGTTCATGATATGAAGAAGTAAAAACTTTGTACTAAGATTCTGCTATAAGAAAAGATATCAGACTCTATCGATTTTGAAATATAATAGATTTATAAACAAAATATTTAAAACTCTGTTTCTCTCACTCACTCTTTCTCTCTCTCTCTCTCTCTCTCTCTCTCTCTTTTGAACAGAAAATATCATATATTTTTTAAAATATGCATAAAATATATATGTGACAATTAACATTTTGTGTCTGGAATTGCTAATATTACCAGCATTAATGATAAATATATGACACACACACACACACACACACACACACACACACATACACGAGGGCGTGAGCGCAATCATTAACTCAAATAGAGAAATTCTTACATTTGGTAGAACACATTTTGACTTTCATTTAACAACTGTTGACCAGGATAACATAAAACCATGAGCTGCAGTAACATGCCTATGATTACAAAGCTAAATCTGATTACTTCTTCTAATTGATTTAATTCATATACCATCTACAGTACATAAAATGCATTGTATTATATAATGTATTTTTTAATATTTGTTAAAATTTTAATATTTATTATTAGAGCAATGTTAATTTTTTTTTCTCTACAAAAAGTAAATAATGCCTGTAATATTTACTTGCATTCCAGCGAGACTGATGATTGCAGCAACAGATAATAACGAGATTAATGCCATTATTCGATACATTGAATTCAGTACATTGACAAACCTACAGAATAATAATATATATTAATATATTACGAAAATATACCTATTACAAATACAATTATACTGTGACAAGATTATTAAAAAAAACTATTTACCCTAAAGCAAGTTGATATTTCCTTAAACATATAACATAATTCTGGTATATCATTTCCTCGCTTGTTGATTTGGATAATACATTCATGCAGCATCCGCGTTTACTAATTTTCATAATATCCGATTTTGATGTCACTTTCTCAAACTGATGACTATGGAATAAAATTCTTACGATTTTTCGCGATAGAATTAAAAGAAAAGAGTTATTTGTGTACGTACCTAATGATCGAGAATAAACTATCACACGAGTCTGAAAAAGCTTTCGCCCCGAGGTGCACACGATATTTTTCACAATATCTTTACGGAAAGTTCGACCTCCATGCCTAGAGAAAGGCGAGAGTGGCCATTTCACGCCAGGACGGCATAGCGGGACGAAAGTAACCACTTTCCTCCCTAGGGCGGAAAGTGATCACTTCCGTCCCGCTAATGTCGTCCTGGCGTGAAATTGGTCACTTTCGCCCCTCTCTACAGGCATGGAAAGTCGAACTTTCCGTGGAGATGTTGTGAAAAATACTAAACTGTCATTGTCCCATTTCCTATTCTTGTATTTCAAAAAGCTCGTGGAAAGTATCTTTTCCAGCTGGACACTTACATAATAACACACTGCGTAACGTTCCTCTACCCTCATATACACAATAAATAATAACACTGCGTGACCCTCTAACAGTGTCATCTACGATTCTTTATTTATTGATAAGAATGAAAACGGACGTTTGTGTGGTGCCCTGTATTGTCATTTTATTGATCAATTTTTACAGTCACAAATACGAAATTATAGGAAGACATGGGAGAGTGGTCGATTGGTCTTCCGTGCGTCTGCTGAATTTTTTAACGCGGTGCGCCTGGTGAGTTTGACAGACCCGAAAGTTTGAAAATAATTAAGTATATCCTGGTATAATCATAATATCAAAATTTTATCAAAAGTATTATTTATTTTATGTTTTCGTGAACTTATAAAATAGTGCGAGCACGACATGTAAACAGCAGTTATAAAACACTCAGGCCACCAGCGTTCCCGCGATTACGAAGTTATATCTTCCAAAGCACTCTAGTGGGTCGGTCAAACTCAACCAGGCGCACGAAGGGTTAATAGTAGGTGAGTCTTAGATTTGATTCCCAAGACTCTCTCATTTTTATTTTAGATAGGTATTGATTTCAGAAAAGATTAATTGAAAATTAATGATTATGAATAAAGGAGGAAATGAATGATAATCTGTTTTGAGAATCCATATTTCAATTACATATTTCATTTACCTACATTATGAAATGTGCCAGTGAATAAATGTAGATGCAATCGATTTTAAAGTGTTTTTTGTATCTAACAATAAGCGAAATTTAAGGTGTTCCCAATCGGAACACTTGGCAAAATTGTAACACAATCGCTCAAATTTAATTCTAGTAGAATTAAGAACAAACTACAAAATGTATGGAGCTACTTAATCTTTAAGTGATAAGAATGTCATGAAGTAGGATATGCCTATCCGTATCACCTTAAATCAAATACAGATATCAGCATAAATTGTCTTCTGTATATCACAAATAAAAATTGAAGATTTTCGTACTTACTGCAGCATAAGTCGCCATTGATAATGAAAATATGTTACCAGCTGTTAAACCACACGGTTTAAAGCTTCTGTAAAGAGTTATAATCAAGAGCGATTTTAATCTTGGTGAGAATGTATACCATTTTGCAGCATACCTGTAGATATAAATTTAAGAATCCGTTCACATAATATTTTTGTCAGTAATTATATCTGAGTAAGAAATTGAAATTTTTTTCTTCTATAGAACGGAAGCAAGTAAGTATTGCAAATTATAAATTAAATTTTTAAGGCAAAATCTATTGTATAAAATGGGTATTTGAAATAATGCTTTACATATATATATTTTATTCACAATATTAAAAACAAAAATTTTGTATTAATGTTCTACCATAAAAAAAATTAAACCCGTGGTTCATGTTAGTTTTAAAATATAATAGAAAATTTGTAAGATATTTATAAAGAGATTATTAAGAGTATCTTTTTCAGCAAGAAATATTATATATTTCCCCAAATTTTACAATATGTGTAAAAATATATACAGCGATCACAACACTCTACGGGAATTATAATTACCTGCATTAACCTAGTAAACTTTTGGCTCAAAGTATCAAAATAAAAAAATTCTTACGCTCGATAAAATACATTCTGACTTTCGTCCATTAGCTTTTGACCAGAATAACATAGGATCAGAAAATGCATTAACATGCCTATGATTGAAAGCCCAAATCTCATTACTTGTTCTAACTGATTTAATCCATATACAACCATCTACAACATATAGAAATATAACATAGAATTATATGTATATATAGGTATGTGAAAGATTTTGATAATAATGTTAATTTTTTCTTTTCTTTATAAAAAATACATGTAAATGCTTACTCGAACTCCAACCAGACTTATAACCGCACCAGTCACCAATGGCATAATTAATGCCACCGTTCCATACATCGAATTCATTACATTGACAAACCTAATAAAACGATAATATTATATCACTGAGAAAAAAAATATTTTAATCCAAAAAAATATTTATTAGGTGGCTCCTA